TTTTTATTGCTTGTATGTTATTTCTTTGTAATCACAGTTTCTGTTTAATAAAATTGTTATTTTCGGTTAACCAATTTATATTATATTAGAAAATGGAAGTCCGAACTGATGAAATACACCACGAAACATTGTCAACCACCTTCAAAAATGAGGCTTTGTCAAAACATCGTGAGATCAATCCCACTAAGCACAGAACACGGATCAAAACTCGGAAACCAGTTCAGCATATAAATGAAATTTCAAAAATCGTTACGATGATTGTGAACAATCAATTTGTCTGAGCTGTGTAGAGATTCAGAGTCCCGATGGAGTTCAATTTTTTGCAAAATTCAAAAAGCCAATCTTCCACATTTTCTGCATGAGTACAATCTATTATATGAATAATTCAATTTTTTACGCAGAAAATGTGCAGGATCATTTTAAATAGAAGTTCATTAGCACTTACCCTAAAATTTGAGGACTAACAAACGTGAGTAGATCTTGGATGAGTTTCAGGAGAGCTCCAAACATGTACATAGTTCCGAAACACTTGACCAAGGCTGGAAGGATGGAGGCTCGTTTTTTCTTAGAGCTGGTAACAAAATCCACACTACTTGGATCAGATTTAAACTTTGCTTCAGAAACTTGTGTAGGAGCAATACTGTAATCGATTATTCACTAACTTAATATTTGCTTACATTGACCTTAAATAACTCAAAGATCTACAAAAAAAGCTTTGAAAGCAGGTGGTTGCTGTGCAGGAATTGAGGGCCACAGTTTATACAATGTGATTACATACTACATTAGACAAGAAGAGTAATTGTCACAGTACATTATAATTCGACACTGGGAACACTCAGGCTTTCAATATATTGATTTAAAATAAAGCAATAAGGCAAGTGTTTTATTCCAAAACGTCAGATGTCAACCATTGAGGATGACAGTGTTCCACGTAAGTGAAATTTTACCTCTTTCATATACTATTTCGTGTAGCAATCCTGTGAATGATATCTGATTCAATTCCATAACGAATGTTTAGAAAACAAACTGAATAGGAAACATTTTTTTGTATAAATCAATGTTCATAAAGAAGTTGTTTCAAAAGTAGTTTTTCTGAAGTAGTTTGTTTCTGAAAGTAACTTCTTTGACCGTAAGTATTTACTCTGCCGGACAATTTGTCCATTTCTCCTAAAAAGGCAGACACTAAACTTGATTTTCCCGATCCTACTGTTCCCACAATAGCCGTGAGAGTTTGTGTTCTAAGGTGAATATTTATATTCTTCAAGACTGGATCTTCACCCCAAGAGAACGTTCCATTTTCAATCACTAGAGGCTCAACTGTAAATAAGCAGAATGTTCAACAATTTCACTCCAGTTATTCATACATCTTGTGCATAATGAAGATACTTATATTCAAGAGAATCAATTTAGAGGTTACCATTCACTTTGAATACAATATTCAATTAGGTAATATGTATATAGACAAGATATTTATAGCCATAAATAACGATAGAAAAACAGAATGCAGTATTAAGATTTGTCCTTATAGAATTCTCAAATAAAATCTTATATAGTTCACTAAATCATTTCTAGAGAATAAAGTAGATCTGAACGATAGAAAAACAAATTCAAAACCAATAACAGGATAGATACACCACAAAACATAATTATGGACAATCGAAAATTCATTTGCAACACTTTAGTGAAGTTTCTAGGCATAGACATTGATGATATTTCAAGTTGGACTAGTCAGATATAGAACCTATGCCATAAACTATACGCGGTAACATATGCCATAAGAGTTCTAAAACAACTTTCTTGATTTTGAAGCATTAATTACAGTATATTATGCGAATTTTTACTCTGCTATGAGACTAGGGATAATCATCTGAGACTCAAGTCATGGGTTGAATAAAGTTTCCCTATGTCAAAAAAAATTATCTAAATAATCAAGAAATCGCTAATCGAATGTACGCAGCCCGCAAAATTTGAAAATTCACCTTTTTTTTCAACAGACCTATTAGATATTAAAAAAACAATAAAGTAAATAAAACATACCTTCATCAACTTCATGATGGACATTATCAGGGCTCAATTCCTCTGCGTTCATGAATTTGTTAATTCTTTTTACGGATACCCAAGTCTATGCATAACAAAATAATTTCAATTAATACAAGAGATATGTTCATGAATTCAATGTTCAAAAATGAAAACCACATTTCCAAAAGGGAAATTTAATAGATCTTAAAATGATTTTCCATTCAAATTGGATTGCGATTTTCACTTTTAGATAAATAGAATTTATTGTAAAATGCAATGACTTTGTTAATGAAAGAATTCCATTGCAAGTCAACTGATGATATGCTATGACTGTATGCTTCAACCCAGTTTTGTTCCTTTAGCTGAAAAGAGGCAATAAAATGAAATTTGAAAAAAAAAATACAGCATCAATGTTCAGAGTACAATATTCTCTATCAATCAGTATATACTTTCAAAACAAGCAATATTTATTATCCTATAAAATCAATGTGAGTCCCCATTCATATAATTCTAAAGAATTTTGATGACTGTTTAATACTAGTGGACTTTACCTACAACCATTCATTAGCAAATCAGTGATTATTATTCAGCTGAAACACCCGAATGACAAAACAAAGGTTTTGTTTCATCATCAAAATGATGAAAATAATTTATACATCAACTGTTTCCTTACAACCAAATGAAAAGAAACAGCTAAAATGGGGACGTGATGTGAACGTATTCATGAGGTTTTCATTTAAAATGAAAAAACCTTGAAGTTTTCTGTAACTGTAACTTCAGGATATACTTACAAAACTGAATAATTTGATTAATGGTGAATAAATATCTACACTGTACACTTCACTATCATTTTCAGCTGCAGATTTGAATGATGTCACTATATCACTTAAAGTTAAAACTACGAGAGTACCCGTAACTCCTAATTTCAGTAAATTTAACCAATTCCACGGAATATCTCTTTTTTTACTATTGAAAATATAAAACACTTCCAAACTTGTAAATGTCCATAGAAAAAAACAAGGAATCCACACCAGCACTGTTTTTTCAAAGCATTTCGTTAATTCTGGATCGTTGGTGTCCCAGGTTAATGTTTGATTCTGAAACAAGAAAAATACTACAACTCAAGTGGTTAATGATGACCTATACTATAAATAATGCTGACAGTACACAAAAAACGAGTAATCATGGTGTGTAGGCTTTCACGACCGGTGTCTAACAGATTGACTGATGTTTCAGGGTGTGTTAGCTGTGTTGCAGGTTTTAATACTTGACATTTTGTCTACTACTGCGACAGACATCATTAAGGGCGATGTGGTAACAGTCGATCTACCTTGTTGCAATGTGCAAACTGTGTTTGTACTCATAATGGGACAGCTGAAAGTTTCAGTTGATACGTCGAGAAGAGTACTTCAACCACGCCACTATAGATGACTGCCATAGTTGCGGTTGAAACATTTGGAGATTGTAACGGAAGAAGACCACGGCAAGACCCGGAAACCAATCAAAACAATGTCGCCAGCTGTGAAAGCCTACATTTCTATAAAGAGATTTAATAGCAGTTAAATCGCAGGTGGTTCTCTTCATATATTTCTGAATTATAGCAAAAATGTGTGATTTATAGCTAAGTTTTGAGTCTAAGAAAATTTGGAGTTTAACAAAATGTAAGTTCAGATTATTTATACTATATTCGAAAGTGATTAGATGATGTGTTCAATAACTGTGATGAAAATGGCATTTATGTGCGTTCAGATACCATTTTGCATTCACCGGTTAGATAGGCAATCTATATCATTTCGTTGAATTAATGTATCGGCCTTACTTTCAATTATTTTGAATCGTCGGCAAATAGACAAGCTTCACTTTCAATGAAATAGAGAATTAGATCTTTGATGAAAAAATTAAACAACAGTGGTCCCAAATGTGATCCTTGTGGAACACCCGATGTTACTGGGATGATATGAGAATAGTAATGATTAACCCGGACAGTTTGCGTTCTTTCTGTAAGATAGCTCTTGAGCCACTGCAATATTAGCCCATCAGCGCTGTACAAACGAAGTTTGTACAGCGCTGATAGGCTAACTTTGACTAACTTTGTCAAAAGCTTCAGACTTTTCACTTACTACTTGCAACTTATGACTTGAGACTGGTGTATAAATCCACCTCAACACTCGTCAATGAAAAAATTGTTGTGATGTAGTCTAGTGATAAGTACTTTCCCAACTACTCCTTACCAAATTTCAGAATCGGTGATACCAGTGATGTGTTTGTATACTACACTAATTACATCCCAAACTGAGCCACAAGACATGGGTAACTATTGTTGCTTATATTTTTCTCTCACCCCTGTGTAGGAAATTATTAATTTACCTTGGTACAAATTACTACTAGAAAAAACAAGAGGGAGCCTGAGGCTTTAGGTAGAAAAGAGGATAAGTGATAATGAAAAAGTAGAAGTGATCTACTAAGAATCAGATCTCGATAGGTGGACTTGGAAGATAGTGAATAGAAATATTGAATAGTGATAAAGGTGACTTTTCTGAATACAACTAAGGATATTGAATTAGTTACTAGTTATTATGTTTAGTTCTCAGGTTTTTGTTGCACAAACCTGTTTTAAATTGATATTGTGACCGTATCCTTGAGATATGCATGCATTAAAAAATAGATGAATAATTTTTTGAGAACCCTGGTCCGGCTTGTGGCCTGACAAAATCCAACTTTGGCAGGTGTCCTTTTCATTGTGATAATAAAAAGAAAATCTGATCTGAAATTTAATTGAAATTTTTGATTGGAACAAATTGTTTTTTTCTCACCTATTTTTTCGTTATAGCTGAAAATGGAATAAAAGGTAACCCAGATAAAATGACCGGAATAATATTGAAAATCATTAAAACAGCTGAGCAATTAAATATAAAGGAATTCTTACCCAAAAAGTAGATCCACAAAAACTGTCCATGGTCGAATTGCCAATGAAATTACTTGAATTAGCCATTTTCCAGTTAATCGCAAAAGTCTAGAAAAAACAGAACAAATTAAAACATTCTATCGACATGCTATTGGAGTATATCTGAATTACATTCGTTTTGTTTTCAGGAGGTGGAAAAAAGTAGAGCTACTTTTACTCAAACTGGGTCATAGGCACTGAACATACTGAACAATGAACACGAAACATTATAAAAAACACTATTTATGACTTATGACAGACGTCAGAATGACAATGCGATGACATCTCAAGCATAGAGAAAAGATGCATAGAAACCCTGGTGTTTTACCCATTCGCTTTTGACATATGAGTTGAGTTCAGTGATCAAAGCAGACAATTTGATTTTTTTCCAGATACTTACAACGACAATCAAGTATTGATAGTGAAACAATCGAGTCCACGCACGCGTTTGCGAAAAATGTACAATCAAATTCACGTTGTGTCGCTTCTCTGTGGTTTAATATTTTCGGGTTAGGATTTCGCTCATCTCCGGCACTGCGTTGTTATATATGCGTCTCCGTGCCAGCCTGCCAGTCAATTATCTATATCATTATTCTTATGAGTTAGATAACGCAAAACGTAGTCGAATGTCACTGAAGTAACACCATATTACCGCAATAAAATCGTTCAACACGTCTATAAAAGCGGGGAATATTTGAAAACAGACGTACGCTCGGAGTAATATTCACTCCATAATAACACAATACAAACAATAAAACGCTACTGATTTGTTTGGATCGGATTTACACATGGCAGATAATTGATTGACAGACAAATGTCAAATAGAATAAAAAATAAAAGTGGGCAATTTGGATTTTGAATATTGCAACTGTAAATTTTGAATTTCATTAGATTTGCAGCTGAAAAGTGAGATATAATGCCGAATAACACAAAATCTATTTTCCTAGATGTGGACTCTACCATTATTGAAAATAATCTTCGTTTTATGGTGAGTAAAAATTTAGTGTTTTCAATTACATTCTCTCTCTATGTTTTTTGCTTCCATTTAGGCGCATTAAACCAAATATTATACATTGTTTTTATTTTTCTTAGAAGGATTCAAGTGAAGAAGAATTGGGTAAATTTTTCACAACACCTGGCTATGCTTCCAAAATTATCCAACCGACTCCAGGTGAGTGAACATATCTTGTTTGTGGACGTTTTCGTAATGGTTTGTAATGCAATCATTAATGCATAAGGATAAATGTACTTTTTGTAGATCAAGTACTGTAACGCTAAACTGAAATTAAAAAAACTTTCACGATTGTTTCAATTTAGCACATTCATACAAATGATTTGTTAAAATATAGCAAATGTTAATTAAAAAAGCAGTGATTCAAAATATAAGTAAATTGAACGTGAACTCAAAAACTGACAATTGTTGATTGTTTGCTCTGATTGGTTCTCATCTCCCGACTGTATATATGAAACCTTCCCTGGAGAGAAATACTTGTTGACTTCTAACAGCTCCATCTCGTGAATTAAGCCATTCAACTCGAGAAGAAACGTCCCATGTACCAACACTAACAGAAATCAAAATGAGTCTGATGAGTATAACCGAGGAGATATACATGTGTAGATCATGCATAGAATTCACTTTCAGATACAAACTGGAAGAAAAAGTCTGTTCAAAACATTTCCCCTGCATGAACATTGAATAACACGAAAGAAAAATTACTTCTGAAACAACTACTTTCATATGAGCATTGAATTGAACAAAAATCACTTTTTATTATCCAGTTTTTATTCCATACAAGCAATGTTAATAACTTCCCGAGCTACATATGAAATATCATGGCAATTCCAAGTCTATGATCCATGTATCATTGCAGAATCATCCCAACTTAGGGATCAAACTCACGACCTTTCGATCGTGAGTTGGGCACACTATAACTGCGCCCATTTTTTTTTTACTTATATGGAACACTATTATCCTAAATAGTGTACTTGTATTTTTTGTATACAGGGTATATCTTGACGAGTTAACGCAATCTATTGGAAAATTGGTAGAATAGGTGAAATATTGTCTTTGAGGTGACGTTTCGGGTTTCACCGGAAGTGACGCCATCTTTGTTATTTTTAATGGCACACCCTATGTTTCACTCATTTTTGAATTCTTCTCATGATTTAGATTCTAACTCATGTATCATACCCTATATCCAAAATGAACCGTTTTCGAGTTATTTGAGTTTTTTTAGAAAAAGTGACAGATGTAGCCTCTCGAACATAAATAATTTTTATGTAAATTAACATTTTTGAAAGTATGCAGCTAGTGAATCGTGATAATTGAAGATTGAACAGATCACGTATCATTTTCATGTCCACTGAATAATCCACAAAGTGCGCAAAAACTAGGGTACAATAAGTGAATAAGAAAAATAAAAACTTTTTCAAATGAGAACCCCTATTTTTTTCCTTAAAGTTCAAATTACTGAATCTATCTATAGTCCATAACCTGGAATTGAATTCTAAAAAATCTCAGCTGATACTCTTTGGCCTGAAACACAAAAGACGGGAAATTGAAGGAAGAATTGAAATCCAATTTGAATCAGACTTACTACAAACAATTACAGAAAGCAAGAACTTGGGTTTATGGCTAGATGCTGATCTGAGATTTCACAAACATATAAATTCACTTTGTCGTAGCTCGTACAGTATCTTAAGTTCAACTCTATTAAAGTAGAGATATTATAACCTCCAAATTGAAGTTGAAACTTTGCGAAACCCTCATATTGTCTAGATTAGCATATTGCGATATAATCTACGGGCCTGCTTTGATACGAACTGATGTAAATCGCTTACAAAAAATACAAAATACTATTATGAAAATAAGCCCTAGTTATGATACACTTCCCTATACCCAAAACTTATAATTTTGGAGATATTCTTTCATTTACATACTTTCCCGAAATGTTGATATTTCTAGTAGGCTGCTGTCCATCTTTCAACACAATGTTTGGTGACAAATGGAATAAAGTTGTTTATTGTTAGATTCGTGCTCTCAGAAGGTACAATGTGGCTCATGCTGGTTATAATAATCACGATTTCTTTAACTTATTGGTGATTTATGGAGAATGCAATAAGGTGTTAACAAGAACATGTGATGCTCATGTTACAAGGTATCCAGAAAAACGGAAACGATCTCCAGATATTAGAAGATTAATCTTCAATCTTACGAACTTTGGATCATTGGAAAGGAAAATTATCAAAATTAAAACGGTGGTTGACAATGAAGATAATGCGATTACAGTGCTTGGGTCCTTTTTCATTACTTCTTGAGATTCGTTTGGGAACAACTCTTTAAATTTTGCACAAGTAAAATGTTGTAACTTGAATTTCTTTTATGAATTTATTTTATTCGCGTAATCTTTTGATTTTACATCCCACAGGCAGCTGTTTTCTTTATATACAGCAATCAACTCTTTCCATTACGTATTTCATATCCATTATAATGATATGAAATACGTAAAACCCTTTTCCCTAAATGATTTGCTTTAAACGATATAAAATCGTAACTGCCGCAGCAATAAGCTCCACACGTTCCAACTTGTCTACAACCCCCACCCCAGACACGACCGTTGATACGATATTTTATGGAAGCTCCGTACTGCGAACGATTCAACGACTGCATACTACAAAACACCCAATTTGCCTACACACGTTATGATTTATCGTTACTGCGGCAGTACCGACGCATATCGTACTGCAAGCAGTACGAAAAATCGTAACGTGTGTAGGCCGTGTGTCGTGGAGCAGGACCGTACTTCTTCTGTTGACTAATGCCGCTGACACAATTTTTGGTACATTTCGTCGATTTCCCCACAATAGGACTCTGCTGTGATATTTTGGCCCGGTTATTACACGCGAGCGCTTTCGATAGCTGGCTGTGCTATCATCTTCAAGGATCTACTCAAACTGAACGTTTCATCCTCTTGTTTGTTCTTTTATGTTGTCAGAACGNGCTGCATACTTTCACCTACGTATGTGAATGCTATCCATCGTTGTGTTGTTTTATCTGTTGGAGTAGTTTGATCCTTGTTCTGTATTTTTTGTTTGATTCTATTTTCTAATTTATCTATTGTCTTTTGGGTGTATCCGTTTTCGTTTGCTATTTGGTAAGGAAAGGAAAATCATATACCAAATAACGAAAGAGAACGGATACACCCAAAAGACAATAGATACACCCAAAAGACAATAGATACATTAGAAAACAGAATCAAACAGAAAATACAGAACAAAGATCAAACTACTCCAACAGATAAAACAACACAACGATGGACAGCATTCACATACGTAGGTCACCAAACAAAGAACCTAAAAAACATATTCTAACCCCTGAACACCAACATTACATACAAACCAAACACGAAAAAAATAAACAGCTATGAAAAAGAAGAAAACAAAAACCTCAACAGGGTGTACAGCATACAATGCCCGGACTGCAACAAATTCTACATCAGCCAAACCAAGAAAAAAATGATCCAAAGGTACGACGAGCACAAAAAGGTATACATAAACCCAATAATATGTAAATCAAACCTCTCAACTTCGACGATCAATTCGTTTGATTTTCGGACGGTGATTTGTGAAACATGCGGACGGGCGTTGTCGTGGAGCGGGACCGAACTTCTTCTGCTGACTAGTGCCGCTAACACAATTTTTGGTACATTTCGTCGATTTCCTCACAATAGGACTCTGCTGTGATGTTTTGGCCCGGTTGCAGAAAGTTATAGTGAATCACACCAGCCGGTTACTACCATACAATAACCATGGGTGGGTTTTCGCTATTGAGAAGTGACTGGGTGGCTATCGGTGACCAATTACTGTGCTAAACGTCTGTTGTTGTTGCGGATGATCCATTTTTCATCTCACGTGACGATCTGGCCCAAAAAGGGATCGTTTTGGTTGCGCAAAAGCAAAGAACAGACCTCGAAACGTGAAAATTTCTGTCGATCATTCAAAGCGTTGCCGTTGGACCCCCACTTTTCGAGCTTTTTGACCTATCCGGTACGTTTTTTTTTTAAACCATCAAAAATCGCATGGGAACTGACGCCCAGTTCTTCCGCATTCCCACGCACCGTTTGTGATGGGTCAGTCTACACTAGGGTCCTCAAATCCTCGTCCTAGATTACTGTCGACAACTTTGAGGCTCATCTTCGAGGCTAAAATCTTCAGAACGAAATTTAGCAAACCAACGTCGAACAGTGCGTTCATTAACACTATCTTTCCCAAATACCTGATTAATTTTTCGTGCTGTTTTGGCCGCCTTTGGTTTAATTTGACGATATCATATAGTAATAATAATAATAATAATGATAATAATCATCTTTATTTCAGAATATGTCAACAATACAATAAACATATTATGACAATATATAATCAAAAGACGTCACTGAGGGTTACAAGACACAATAATCTTGCGTAAATAGAAATATAAGATGCATAAATAAAGATAATTTTAAAAATTATGATTAAAATACTCCGCAATATTATAAGGTTCCAGATGTATGCGTACCTTTTTTATTTCTCTTTTGCATTCATTGATGCTGACCAATGCTTTTATTCTATCTGGTAATTTATTGAACAATCTAATGCACATGTATTGTGGGCTATTTTCAGTTACCGTGAGTCTGTGAACAGGGTAGTTGATATTTCTAGTCCTAGTTTCATATTTGTAATGAGGAGGTGCCCCATCCTGTTGAAAATGTAATAAATTTTCTT